TCTCTGCTCCTCCGCCCCTGGCCCCGGTGTCGCCGGCGCTGCCCGGGTCCCCGGGGCCTTGTCCCGAGCGGGGCCGGGCTCCTCCGCTGGCCCCGCAGCGGCCGGGGAAGCCCGAATCGGCAGTCGCCCCCCCTTTTCAGCCGGGTCTGGGCGGGGGCGCCCCCGGCGCTGCCTCACCGCGGTCCCCGGGTGCCCGTGGCGTGGTCGCTGTGTCCCCCCCGCCCCGAGACCCGGGCTTTAGGCGCCGCGTCTGTCCGTCCGGACGCTGCCACGGGCTCCGGGGAGGATGGGGGCTCGGGTCACCTAAATCTCAGGTGGTCGCGTGACCCCACCCGGTGGTCCGGGGCCGGTGTCGCACCCAGCCCGTGGGGGGGCGTCGGGGGAGTTTAACGGACACGTGGCGTCTGTTTCAGCCGTGTCAGAAACGCCAGAGAACCGTGGAGGACTTCAACCAGTTCTGCACCTTCGTGTTGGCCTACGCGGGCTACATCCCCTACCCCCAGGAGGTGAGCGGGCGCGGGGGGGCTCGCTCTGCCGGAGGGGGTCCTCCGGGCTCCTGCCCTGTGTGGACCCAGCTCTCCCGCAGCCTGTTTCCCACCCCCAGCCCCTTCTTCCCCACCCCGAATGCCCGCTCAGCCCTGTGTTTCCCCCCCCCAACACCTTTTCAGAACGAGCCCTGGACTCCGGGGAGGATGGGGGCTCGGGTCACCTAAATCTCAGGTGGTCGCGTGACCCCACCCGGTGGTCCGGGGCCGGTGTCGCACCCAGCCCGTGGGGGGGCGTCGGGGGAGTTTAACGGACACGTGGCGTCTGTTTCAGCCGTGTCAGAAACGCCAGAGAACCGTGGAGGACTTCAACCAGTTCTGCACCTTCGTGTTGGCCTACGCGGGCTACATCCCCTACCCCCAGGAGGTGAGCGGGCGCGGGGGGGCTCGCTCTGCCGGAGGGGGTCCTCCGGGCTCCTGCCCTGTGTGGACCCAGCTCTCCCGCAGCCTGTTTCCCACCCCCAGCCCCTTCTTCCCCACCCCGAATGCCCGCTCAGCCCTGTGTTTTCCCCCCCCCAACACCTTTTCAGAACGAGCCCTGGACCCGTGGAGGCAGCATGAGCCCCCCCAACAGCACGGGGAGCACTCAGGACAGTGATGGCTGGGCCTCCTCCTACTCCTCCGACGGCCACCTCCTGGGGGAGGATGGGGGGAGCAGGGACTCTGGGGGGGCTGTGGAGAGCAGCCTGCTCCTGAGCTGCCCTGCCTTCCCTGCCGGCTTCTATGGCGTCCGGCCCCCGCAAACCAAACGGAAGAAACCACCGGCGAAGAAACTGGTTTTGGAGCAGGAGGTGAAGAGGGAGCCGCCGGGCACCGGGGCAGGGCAGGACGGGGCCAAGGAGCTGGCGGTGCCAGAGGCATTGGTGCCCCCCGCGAGAGAGCAGCTCCCGGAGCCACCCCGCAGCCTGGCCGGGGACCCCCAGCCCCGCTCCCTGCTGGAAGAGCTGGTGAAGGAGGAGAAGGACTGGATGGAGGGAACACAGGGCATGGAGAAGGCAGTGGGAGATGATCCGCAGGAGCAGGGACCCAGCCCCGGGGGGAGGAGGAGCCCCGGTTCTTGCAGCACCTTGGACCAAAGTGAAGGGAAGGACGGGAGCGGAGGGAGCTCCCAGCGCAGTGGTGAGTGTCCCAGGGCACCCCGAGGGCCCGGCTCTTCCAGGGCCCAAACGTGCTCCCTCTCTCAGCTGGGGCCACCCAGGGAGGGCTTGTGATGGCCCCAGCCTTCCCCAGCGCGGGGGGTGCCCTGGGGACCCAGGAGGACCGAGGAGCCACAGGCAGGGAGCCGCCTGCCCTGTGGGAGCCCTGTTCCACAGAGGGACCTGAAATGTGTCCGAAGTGGGGTGTGGGGTCACCTTGCTCATCTCATCTTTATTTTTTTTCTTTCTCTATTTCCTGCCCCTCCTTCCCCCTGTTTTTGCAACTTCAGCAGTTGATTTCGCAGCGGCTCCCAACACCAAAGCAGAAGGTGAGTGGGGGGCTCCCCTGTTTCGCACCGGTGGAACCGGCTTGTTTGGCCGCAGCCAGGCCAGTGGCCAGTGAGGTGGTTTCTGACCAGTGTCTGTCTCTCCCCGGGCAGAGGATGATGCCTGGGACCTGATCACCTGCTTCTGCCTGAAGCCCTTCGCTGGGCGGCCCATGATCGAGTGTAATGAATGCGCCACCTGGATCCACCTCTCCTGTGCCAAGATCCGCAAATCCAACGTGCCTGAGGTTTTCATCTGCCAGCGCTGCCGCGATGCCAAGCAGGAGATTCGCCGCTCGAACCGAGCGCGGACAGTGCCCCGCAAGCGCTTCTGTGACTGACCCCCCCTGGAGCAGGGCAGCTGGGGGTCCCCTTTTTAATCAGAAGACTGTAGCCCGGTTTGGCTAGACAATCAAGGCAGTGGCGGCCGGGGAGGGGCTGGACTGTCCCCCTTGCGTTTCTGACTGCTGGAAGCTGCCCCTGCGCCTTCCCCGGGGGTCACGTTGGCCACAGAGCTGGGTTTCCCCAGGGGTGCGCGGGGGAGAGGAGGGTGGTCCAGCCTCAGTGCCTTTCCCGGGGCAGCCGAGGAGAACCTAGTCCTAGTAGTTTTTCTGTGGTGTGGTGGAAGCTTACACTTATCCCGAGATGTGACTCCCCTTCCTCCTTTTTCCTCATCGTTTTTCCGTTTCCTTGCCCCAGACCTTCAGGTGGGCTGCCATGGCCAAGCCCCAGTGACCCAAGTTCTCCTCTGGCAAGTAGGTGCAGCCCAGGGGAGCCCCTTGGTGTAGTGTGCAGCTCGCTGGGGAGGGGACACCGGTCCTGGGGCAGACTGGGTCTCTGCATCTGGGGGGTGTTGGTGGAGCATCCATCTGTGGTTCATCAGCCTTGTAGGCTGCATAGGGGGAGATCGTTCCCCTGCCCGTGGTGCTCCTGGCTGTGTTGGCTGTGCCCATGGCCCCAGGGTAGTCCTGTTGGGCCAGAGCAGCAAAAGCATCCTCCAGCAGATGGTCACCAGGGCTCTCCTTGGGTCATGTTCTCCAATTGCACTGAGGTCTCTGGTGTGAAGGGAGTGGGATTCCTGGTAGGAGACTGAAGCTCTCCTCAGGGCTGGGAGCCCACTGGAAGGGGAACAGGAGAGTGCTCTGTGGCTTTATGTTTCCCAGTTTAAACCAACTGAGGCTTGTAGCCTGCAGCCATCTCCTGACTGCAGGGCTCTGGTGAAGCATCTGCTTCAACGCCAGTTGAATGCCAAGACCTGGGCGAGGATGGAGCTGGGAGGCCTTTGCTTCCCAGCACTCCTTCCATCTCAGAAGTTGGGGTTTTTCCCCGGACAGGTAGAGCGAAGCCTAATGACGTGTCAGGAGCAGGGCCTGCGCGCCTTCTGCTATGCAACTGCTGCTCCGGGGACACAGGTTGTCCCCTGTCCAGCCCTGGCTGAGTCTGGCAGTGGAAGGCTTGTCCCCTCCCTGCCCCCCCCGTGCACACTGACTGCCGGATCCCACTCCAAAGAGCCTCCCCACGTGCCTTCTGCACTTTCCCTGGGGGATGCAGACCCCATGCCCATCCTGGTGATGCTGCTCGCAGCAGGGATGGGGACAGCCCTCCCTCCCCCACCCCATCAGCCCCCATGATGGTTATTTCTTAACCAGGGTCTTTCCTACTTGCACATCTGGTTTCTGCAGGACCACAGCTGGGGGAGGGCGTGGGGCAGCCCCCGGTCACTCAGCAGCCCCCAGGCTTGTCCCTGTGCCTCTCTCCTCCTGTGGAAAGCCTGGGCCCCAAAAGTGCTTTATGTTTTTATAGTTCCTTTGTATTGAGATGTAAAATAGCGAATTCTGGTCCTTGCCCTGTGGAGTGTGGCTGGAGTCTTATGTATATAATAAAGTACTTTTGTCAGAACAGCAGTGGCTGTGGCACAGCTTGGTGGCCTTGGATCTCCCATCCCTCTGGGACCCCCAGTGCGCCCCTTGTACTGGCTGGGACGGGACCTGGTGTGGGGCTCCCTCCTGCCTGCCCCCCCCCCGCTGGCGAACACAAAGCTGCACAGACAACAGGGAGCGAGCAGACATGTGTGTCTTGTATTGAACAGAGCAATACCCCCACCCCACTGCTGCCCATGGGGGTGCCCTACGGCACTCAGGGACAACCTCTTCAACGGGCACTGTCTTCTCTAGGCTGCAGCTGACTCGTCCTGAGCATCATGGGTTTCTCCAAGGAAACAGCAGGTTTCATGGCTGGGGGGGGTGGGGTGTCTGTGCACCCTTGTGTGACTCTTGAGGTGTGTCACGATTTAACCCAAAAGCTGTATTTTGCTCTCAAGCACCGATAAACCTTCTCTGGCTCTGTCTCCGCTCCACATGGAGTGACAATTCAGTCCTGGCAGCCGCTGAGGTGCCAAAGGATCCAGTTTTCTCCACAAAGCACATCTGTTATTCCAGCACGGAGGCTTCCCCAGCAGCTGTGGGGGTGTCCCAGCTTCCAGCCCTCGGGTGAAATGGGGGTTGCAACAAGGGGACAAGAAGGGGCTAGGCAGGAAGAAGTCATTTTTTGAGGGAACCCTGACCCAAGCAGGGTCCTGCTGGCACACGGTTCCAGTCCGAGGTGGTCGTGTTGGGGCGGAGGCAGCAAATGGTCCAAGAAGAGCAGCAAAACCAGGTGTCAATTCTGTGCTGGGTCCAAAGCTGGGTTCCTGTGGCCGGGGTCTACTCCTCCTTGGCCCAGGCAGAGCGACCTGCCTTCTCCTCCAGGTGGGGAATTACTGCCTCGGTGTAGAACTTCTCCAGCTTGGGCACCGTCTGTCCCCAGAACTTGGCGTCAAACTCCACGGGGACAACAGCTGTCTCCTTGGTGGTGTGGACCACGAAGTCAGCCTGCTGGAAGCCGGCGGCCGCCAGCTGGCACTGGACCTGGGTGAAGTAGGCATGATCCTTCTTCAGGGCATAGGAGTCGCCGTCCAGCTCCAGGCAGAAGTCCTTGTCCTTGCAGGCCTCCCGCACCGTCCTGTTCCTGTGCTTGTAGGGACACTTCACCTCCAGCAGCCCCAGGGCCTTCCCTGTGGCCGCCTCCTTGACCACGCCGTCCGGGCTGGCGGCGATCCACTCCTTCTCCCGGTGGATGAAGAGGCCACAGTCGTCCACCTGCACCTCCTTGCCCACCGCCCGTGACTTCAGCTGCTCGTAGGCCCGCACGGCTGCCTTCTCGTTGCGGACGCCCCAGGACATGGCTGGCGTCTGCACCCTGGGGCCAGAGCTCACCACGGCGCTCAGGTAGGAGCGGGGCACCTCCTCCGTCTTGCCGTTGGCAAACTTGCTGTTGGCGATGCGGGGGGCCACCGAGGCAGTGATGCGGTTCTCCCGCCACTGGTACCACTTGGGGTTGCTCCACTGGCCCCGCGTCTCCTCCTCCACCCGGGGGATGTCCCCGTTCTCCAGGGGGGGCAGGAACCGGCCGGTGGCCACGCTGGCCTCCCACTTCTTCTGCGGACATGGGGCGGCCCTGCCCGCGCTGGCAGCTCCTTTGGCATCAGGCAGCGGCTTCTGGGTCGCGGAGCAACCCCCGGCGGACGCTCTCTGCTGGTCCCCGGCATCTCCCCGGGCTCCGCGGGACGCTGCGGGTCTCGGCTGAGAGGAGTTTGCCTTTGGCCCCCCCCGGCTGGGGCCGGCAGCCCCCGCGGCCGGAGCACTCCGGGGCCGGCTGCCTGTGGCCACGGCCTTGGCCTTGGTGGCCGAGGCGGAAGGTGGTGGGGCAGCGGGGGCGGCTTTGGAGGCGGCTGTGGCCGGCCGAGGGGAGGACGTGCTGGCGGGCTCCTTCCTGGGTCTCCCCATGGCTGTGCCTCAGAGGCCCCTGCTGCGGGGAGTCAAGAAAATGAAACGCCCTTCCCCATTTCCTTTTTTTTTTTTGCCCCAGGGCATCTCTGATCCCACGCCTTTCCTTGGGTGACACATCGCGATGGCACGCCGGCTGCTGGGGTGCGCCCTCCCAACCCCACGTGTCCCTCCCCAACCCCACGTGTCCCGCCCCAAAACCTCCCCCCAAGCCCCACGTCACCACATCACCCCCAAACTCCACATCCCCCCTCAAACCCCATGCCCCCACCAACACCTCACAAACTCCACACTCCCCC